GGAAAAGTGTATTAACAAAGAAATTGAAAGTATTGATTGAAGATGTTAATTGAGAAAAGTACTGTAAATGAAAAATTGATAAACAATGGAAAATGTAATAACAAAGGAACTGAAAATGGTAATTGCAAATGATAAGTAATTGAAGGCTAAAATGTGGAGTAAGTATTAATGTGAATTTAAAATAGGTAATGTTAATAAGTGGTGGAAACATTAAATTGCTTCTATGTTGTTCATGGAGCAAACCACTATAGGTTTACTCCATGGAACAAACGTGCAAAGGAGGGAGGTATGTAACGGTACCCAAAGTATGACGTCATTCCTGACTGTCAATCAGGGGATGGAGCAGGAGGGGCGGAGCCAGAATGACAGTTGGAACAGCCGGGGGAGACAGTTAGGGGTTGGAATCAGATAGAGAGAGGTTCAGAGAGAGTTAGGGACCAGAAGCTATTGAAACAGTGCTAGGGCATAGGAGTAACAAAAAGGGTTAAGAAAAGAAATTGAAAGAATAAAACATATTGGACAAGCAGGAATGATCTCATCAGTTTATCAAGAGAAATATTGACATGATCTGATATACATTAACACCTGATTTAACACACATGAATACATAACACAGAGTTACATAATTATACTTATGATCCTGTTCAATAATAAAAGAATGTTTATTTAAAACCCTTGTCTCCTGAAATTGTACGACCCTTTGGGGTGACAGCTCTTGAGTGTATGGGATTTGATTTGCTATTGGTATAATACCTGGTGGCAATGAAAAGGGCGGATTTACCTTTGTGGAGCCCAGAGGTATAAAGGGCGCAAAGGGGGATCGCCACACCGTCTTCTCAGCTTTCAAAGAAATAGATTTAGATTTAGGTTTGGCAGAGTGAGAGGTGGACTTAGATTTAGAAGTCTTGAGCATGAGAGACTGAACAGGCGTCCCAGGGAGAGACGCAGCAGACCTAGGTAGCGATGGAGTGTCCACATTGGGAGGCTTAAGAGACCTCCCCACAAAGAGGCGCATAAACGCAGTCCTCTCAACTTCAGCACCTGTTCGGTGAAACTTCTACAGTGAGTGCAGGATTGGGGCAGATGGGTTTCACCCAGACAAAAAAGGCAAAGCCGATGACCATTTGACATAGGAATCTTTTTATGGCAGGAGACACAGCTCTTGAAGGAGACTTTAGGGCCATAAACCGTGGGAAATGGGAAGGGAGGAAACTAACTCTATGAAACCGTCCTACTTTATTTTTTTTTTTACACAGAGAAACAAGGGGGAAAATATACGAACAGTTGCGAACAGCAGAGACTTGATTAATCAAAAAGTTCCAGTTCCCGCACAAGAGCTCCAGAGAGAGAGATCTACCGCTGGAGCGGAAAAAATGGAACTGAGGTAACCACTAGGACGGGCGGGCCACGTGGGCTCCGTGGGGTGGTCCTAGCGGCTTTTTAGCTCCAGAATATTGCAAGGCCTCTGCACATGCGCAGACTTACCACATTAGTGTGCATTCACAGAGTTCACAAAGAAGAAACCATGGTTTGTAATCAGCTAGCTAACCAGCATCAGAAAGCACTAAAAGCATTGTTTGAAGGGAAATTGAAAATAATGATGATAATGATAATGATAGACCTCCTTTCTTTATCAGAAGAGGTATTTTTCATGGTGATTCTTCGAGCCTTTGTGGTTCTGTCTGGCTTTAAACCCCCTATTTAGATAGCTGAGTGATAACGCTATGGGCTACAAGAGATCTGACCTCAGTGTTTTGTGCCTCATGGACAATATTTGCAAGCTTTTCTAAGAAACAGAATAGTCCCTTAAACATAACTCTTAAAGTACAGCTATCAAAATGAATTTTGTAGTTACCCACATGAAAAGAGGCAAATCCTCAGAGGGGAGTAAATAGCAGCTCACTGAGAGGAGCAGAAAACCTATAAGTATCTAGACATCCATGAAGATTTCATTATAAATGACAAGAAACTTAACTTGTTACAGTGGTGCCTCACTTACAACATTAATTCATACCAGCGAAATCACTGTAGAACGAAAACATCGTAATGCAAAAAGAAAAAAAAACCATTGAAACGCATTAAAACCCATTTAATGCATTCCAAAGGGCTGTAAACTCACCGTCCAGTGAAGATCCTCCATAGGGCAGCCATTTTCACTGCCTGTGCAGCGAGGAATCCGTCCCAGAAAACAGCGAGGGACATTTTGTTTACCCGGTGGCCATTTTTAAACCGCCGATCAGCTGTTGGGAAATCGTTGTTTTGCGAAGAATCGGTTCCTGAAGCAGGGAACCGATCATCGCAAAGTGAAATTCTCCCATAGGAAACATGGTTTTGCGATCACAAAACCGATCGCAAAAAGTTCATCGTAATGCGGTTTCATCGTTAAACAGGGCGATCGTAAAGTGAGGCACCACTGTATTTAAGAACGAATACCTTGAGAGAGTGAAGCAGTATGCTTCTCTCCAACAATGTTGGGGCTAGGAATGCTGGACCAACAACGCTAGGCTAGGAGCACTGGACCCTCATGTAGTTCATAATCCATGTATAACTCTTATGCCCCCCAAACGTAACTACAATCACAGTTTGTTCTCATTCTCTCTCTCTTACACACACACACACGCACACACACATTTGCATTAAGTCCTATTTTGAGTACACTTCTCCTTGAGATTCTCATTTTCTTATACTTCTTAATGAAGTACCAAACATTAAAGGCAAGAACTTAAAAGAACATGAAAACAAAATCATATCATCTTCCTTCCCATACTACTTCCAGCAACCGCAGCTGTTACCGATTTTTTAAAAATTGCCAACTGCCGCCAGTTTGATTCCTGAAAATAAAAAGTCATTGATTTTGAAAACTTATCATCTCTACTGCGAGTTTTCAGGATCTAACTCCTGATTTTTAAGCTTAACCCTTTGGCCTGCCCACCTAGACCAGCAATGCTTAAAATTAAGAAGAACAAAGCAATAACAACTCACAAAGCTACAAATTGGAATAAGGGTAAAACTGACAAATCATGGCTATTGTTCCTAAGTCACTGCACAGAGATGGGGAAAGTAACTCTTGGATCACATGTCCTCAAATACAACCCCAACACTGCCATGCTGGCTGGAGTATCCCAGGATTTGTAGTTCAAATATGTTATTATCCCATCTCTGCCCTAGACACAGAACTACTAAACCAACCCTAGACTACAGCAGATAAGCAATCCTAAATCATGACTGTGCTGTCTGTTCGGCAGAAGTAATGAATATTTAAGAGAAAATGGGATGCATCAAAGGTAAAGATATTCTCTCCCAAATTGCTGCAGTCACAACCAAGAATAATTAAGCATCATTGTCACAATATATACGTAATTATGTACTCTAAAAAGCAACAGTGAATATGCTCAAGGACCAGAGAGATACCTGAAATGTCGCCTCATCTCTAAAGGATGGGAAATTTTCCACTACGATCTGCAATAATTCCTGGGCACTTTTGTCACTTTTCTTTACACATGTCAGGAAAGAGCCTCCAAATGTCTTCAGGAGAACCATCCCAGTCTCATTCAGGACACGATGTCTTTCCTCAAGTAAGGGCATGGGAACATCTGTGTCTGAGCGAAATACATGCTTAACCTGCTCCAGTGTCATAGTAGCATAGTATGAAGCACTAGTAATGGGCACTCCTTCAAGGCAATAAAACAAGATGTAATGAGAAACATGTAGCAAAGAGCTATATTCATTTATTTTATTATTTCATATGGCATAGCAGAATACAGCATTATTGTGCAGGACTTTGCAAAGACAATATTAAAAGAAAACATTAAAAGAATAAAATTTATAAGGTTTTTGAAACATGCAACACGAATAGTGAATAATTATTGAAATAAACTAGGTATGAGTAGTTGCTAGAGCAAGTAAGCCTAGGGCTGGATATCTAAATCATTTAACGATTGAGCAGCAGTGCCCTCAAGGTAATGTAATTCTTGCAAGGAGCCAGGGAACCTTTGAAGTGTGCATTCCATTGCAATGTGATGTAAAGTTTGTGGGACATGCGCACAGTCACAATTAGGATTATCATCCAGCCCCCATTTATGTTTCCAATATTGGCACCTGCTATGGTTAGTTCAGATCTAGTTAAGCCCTGTCCAGTTTTTCCTTGGAAGATCAAAGCCATAAGGGCACTGTACTGGGTTAGACACTAAGTTAAACAGACCTGGATTAGAAGTTGTCCATTCCTAGTGCCATGTCAAAGTCTTCTCCGACTAGCTGCTATCCAAGTTTTCACGATGGGGTTCGGGTGCACCCCAGGCAAAGTGACTTGGCATGGCTTAACAGTCTACACATTTCAGCTGCTGGACCTCACAAGGATTTCCCAGTAAGAAGAATCAGCATGAATAACGAACTTAAAAACAACAGCTCTTTTCAGAAACAACTGACAAGGGACACAGTAGGCATCCTGAAAATTTTACAACTTAATGTGGAAGGTATGAGCAGGTCTTGGAGAGAAGGGTGGGTACAAAAGGAGGAGTCTGGAGGAGATAGGCAGTTCAGTTCTGTGTGAGCTAAGATCGAGATGACAGTTCTGTGTGAAGCTCTGAAGTTCTGTGTGAGACAGAGATAGAAGGAGGTGTGTGCGACAATAGGAGTGTGAGACAGTGTGAGTAGAGTGAAAGGACAAACATAAAGATTGAGATCAGAGGTTCAAAGGGGATTGATTGAGGTAGACTGAGATCAGAGATTGGGAAATATATTGAAGTAACAGAAGAAGTTAAATACAGCCTAGTTTATATATGTGATTAGCTTCCTGTGATTGACACTGTTATTTTTCAACCAATCATTAACCCCACCTTGATAAATAAACTTAATGCGTTTGTTAACTGGTGTGTCCTTTAATTGATTGATGTTTAAAAGAAAACATCTGGTGGCAGTGTGAGAAGATAGATGCAGCTTGCGTCTTTGTGAGGAACCAGAACATAATAAAGGTTTCTAAGAAGGAGTTGAGTCACACTGTTCTACTGCAAAAGCTCTATTTCTCTACATACATTGCTACAAAACATGGGTGGGCAATAGGAAGCCTTTCAGAAGTATTTCTGCAGCTGCCAAGGCCACCTGACTATCTCTCTATTAAAACAATATGTTTTTTAAACAGGGGATCAAGGAAGCCCCATTTCTGTTCCTAAAAGCTTCCATGAACAATGATTTTCCCACCCTATATATTTTTCCCAAAGTTTCATCCTGCTTTCCAAAGGCACATCTTTCCAGGCCAACCTTTGCACAGCCAATAGAATATATAGGCATCCCTAAGCCCCCCGCCAAATGAAATTGCGAGTGCTCATCCCAGCATTGCCTGTTTTCATTTAAAATAAATAAGTAAAAACATCTGAAAAGTCTATTTCTGGGCCTGATGCAACCCGTCAGGCTCTGGGGCAAAATCATATGCCCCCCCCCAAGCTTGCCCACTTCACTATAGAAGATTAGATCCAACTGTTACTCCCAAATAGAAGTGTCCAAGGGAGTTACTATATGGGCATTTAGCCCATAGTTTTGTCTGCTGGAGGGACAGGATGTTTTAGTCCTAAAGCTGCCAATGAGATGACATCTGCCCACAGAGCATTCCTATCTGCACCTTTCTGGACCCTGTCAGAAGCTTCTGCTTTTGGTGTGGGTGGGATCACTCTGTTTTGATTCATTTCCAGCATGTGCAATCACTGGAAATGAACCAAAACAAGCCAGCAAATTAAACTTCCTGCTTCAGTTTGCCAACCGGCTCTCTATTCACTGTATCATTAGTGGTTTATACAGACAGTTTAACCACTTAATGATATGGGGTGATTGGAAAATTAAAATTTCCTCTCTCTGCTCCTGGAGCAGGAGGAGGAAGCAAAAAGCCACAAAAATTATGCCAATGCACTGCACCTTTCAGAAAATTAAAAAAAATTAAGGCTTCCCCTTAGAAGCAGGAAGAGAAAGGCAGAGGCAAGGTGGGGGATTTCTTTTCTTTTCTTTACAGCTTTTTTCTCCCTAACAAACAAGATAGTTTCTTGCCTCTCTAATGGTACAGCAGAACAAATAGGGTCACTATGCCATGATGTAAAGATCGTACCATGTGGCATACAGGATCTCAACCCAACCTTAAGTGATACTACTTAGCCCACACAGCCAACTCCAGCCAAGTTGTGTAGCCAAGCTCAGTAACTTACATAAGAACCAATTTAACAAGTCCCATTAACTCTGTGGATTAAGTGCAGCTAATAATTTAGAATGTATCAGAAATTACAATTACCTTTTATTAAAAAGTCTGTACAGTGGTGCCCCGCATAGCGACGATAATCCGTGCAGCAAAAATCGCTGCAAAGCGATTTCGGCGCTATGCGGAAATAAAAAGCCCATAAGAATGCACTAAAACCCGTTTAATGTGTTCCTATGGGCAAAAAACTCACCTTAAAGCGAAAATCCTCCATACGGCGGCCATTTTCGCTGCCCGGTAAGTGAGGAAACCGGGCAAAAACACAGCGGGCGGCCATTTTATTTACCCGGCGGCCATTTTGGAACCACTGATCAGCTGTTGGAAAATCATCGCTATGCAATGATCGGTATGTGAAACGGTACCAA